TCACAGCGCCTGCGCAACTTCGCAGTGTTGCCAAGTCCGCGGTTTTCCAGCGGTAGTTTTTAGTAGCAATTGGGCGTTTCTTTTTTAAATATCCTGGCAACCCTGAAACTTCAGTACTAAAATCATGACGTCATGATTTCGCCCCGTTGTGTTTAAAGGCAGGGTATGTGATTTTTCAAAAACACTTTAGAAAACTGATTCGTGCCGAATCGCAAAACAAACTTGTAGCCAATCAGCAATAAGGGGCGTGTCTACTCGTGATGTGGAGGAGAGGGCTTTCAGTGCATGGGACGGACATTAGCCGAGCCGAGTGACAGAAAGATAGAGATGGCGGATAAAAAACAGAAGAGGAAAACGTCTGCGGAACGATAAGGCAAGAAGTAGGACCCGTGTAAATATCGGATCAGCTTTCCATCGCTGGAGAGAACTCAAGGAGCGGAGGCCTGCGATCGGACGCCGAGGTTGCTTTGTTTCTTCTCAATAGGTGAGTGACACCGTGTCTACAACAGCTAAAGTCTGCCTACACTGGACGCGATCAAACGACCGTTGAAAACCATTTGAAATTTGTGTCAGCACGTCATAAATAGAACCCGGCAGCAGTTTTCTGTCGGGGATTTGTTGCGCCGCGCCGCTCACGTCCGTAGACACGGTGTAACATTGGTTTTGCTTTGTTTCACAGAACTAATCGTTGCCGGGTTGAGTACGTATATGTGGGGCGGAGCTATCAAAATAGGGGCAAGACCCTTTTGGGGTAGGGGCATGTTTGTTTTGGTGATTTCAAATATCAACATTGGCTACCAGAAATCGCTTACTCTGCCTTTAATGCATTATCTCTTTATTTGTGTACCTTTTTATAGATTTTCATAACCAAGAAATACATTTTTTCTCATGTTTCATTTCAAAATGTTTTGGTACATCTTCAGAAACATTTGGGGGTTTGGTACAGTGGTAGCAGCTCAGCAACTCATACCAGCTGGCCAACCAAACACAGCATAGCATCAATATATGAGTCAGTTAATGACATAGTATAATTTTAAATCACAGTTTCAGCATCTATTCATCTGCATGCAACATTGGGCTAAGACAGGCAGGTTGAAACACCTTCCTCAAGCTTCAAAATCTAACCTGATTAAACATAGGGCCACACCTAATCTGACAGATCTGTTCTCTGCCAGCTCACACCTGGATACCAACCAGGTAAAGCAAACTGGCACTCCTTTAAGCAATTGACAAAAATGCCTTGGGGAAACCAAAACGCACTCTTCCACCTCCCCATCTTCCTTTTATCAAACTGCTAAAATCATTAGTTAGTGGCGCTTGCTAAGGCCATAATCACTATTACTATTGCTCACACTTAGAATTAAGGGTTTGTTCAAATTCCTCAACTACTGTTTTACAGTGGACTGTTTGCAACAGAAATTAATGTTCAATCATGTGGCTTTTTGAAGAGACTTCTTCTTCTCTGAATGATCAGATCAAATTTTGAACATACTGTACAAACACTGCTCACATCTTCTTTAGAAAAATAATAAAACTACTATATATTACAGTGCTGCTTGGCCCAGTCATCCTTTTCTTCTTTATCTCTTACATATTTATCCTCCAGAATCTCTTTCACTGACTCACACTACAATTATGGTATTGACTATTCAAAGAGTAAAAACATTCCTGAAAAATGCAATAGAAGTATGGATTATTGTCCATATGGAAGTGTGCCAGTCTCACCTATAGGTCCATAGGTGATTCTGTAACCCTGTACTTGGTCAGCTGGAGTGTCCCAGCCCAAAGCCAGTGTAAAAAACCCAGCCTGGATCAGTCGCAGTGCAGTCACACCTTGGAGAGGCTCTAGAGGGTAGTTTGGGGTAAGAGAGAGTGAGAGTTTTTTAAGAGATGCTGATTTAGATGACACATATTTCTGTTGTGTTCAGTTCTCACTTGTTCGGGTCTTGCCAGACACTGACTCTCCCAAGGTGTTTGGGTACTGAGCAATAACAGTGATCAGGTAGTCTGTGCCTGAACGCAGCTCTCGTGCAGTGTAGCTCTGCTGGTTGCTTGGTATGGTTTCCTGCAGGTAAAAATACTTTTCAGTGGAGACCAATATGCTACACTTTGTTTGATCCACTGTTGTTGTTGTTATTGTAAACTAAAACTAAAACTATGTAAACAATTTTGAGTAACTGAAATAAAGTTGAAATAAAAAATAAATAAATATTCAATGGAAAACTTAAACTTAAAAATGTAGCAAAACTAACTACATTGAGCTGAAGTACTAAAATTACTAAAACTTCAACTGGAATAAAAATACTAAAGCTATATAAAAATATAAATAAATAAAAACAAATTAAAAGACAAATCACATAATTAGCAAAAGCACATTAATAAATACCATGATAATAAATAAGTAATACTAAATTAACGCTGGTGTTAAAAAAAATTCAGTGACCCTTAAAATGTACAAAATATTTCAATACAAAATAATTAATTAATAGAGTTAAATAAATGCTGAGAAGTAGTCTCCTACCAGCCCTCTATGGACACCTTGGCAATTGAATCGCCATTGGCTAGTAAATTTTTTTGTTTACTCGCCAGACTGATAAAAAA